CAGGTACTTAGGCTGCTGAGCTGTCTCCCTAGCCCAGTCTTTTTTTTTTTTTGAAGGTTCTCTTTCGTAAGTCTGTTTAGTTATGCTATACTAGCTGTCTCCGTGTAATGAGTTGATTTAGAACATTTGCCTTTATTGATCATCTAACTCTTGGAAAGAGGAGGAAGTCAACTGGTGCCAGATATGGCCAAAACATGGGTGTGAGGGCACACTAGGGGTTTTATGAACCTGTCTTTCCATTGGGTGGCAGTTGACAGCTGCCTTTACTGTAAATTTTTTTGGTAATTATTTTATGCTTAATTTTTTTCTCATGCCATCTGGGATTTTTGTTTCTCCTATATAACTTCTATATAACTCTTATGTTCAGAAAGAGTCATCTTGCTGTGGTAAGGAAAGCTCATGTGTAGGTTAATCTGATCATGAGCGCTATTAAGTACAGCAGCGCATCCTGGGTGCCTTTACCTGGATCTGTAGCAAAATTGTACGTCCTTTGGGCCACCACACCTGTGTCCATCCTCAGTGTTTGGCTTAGACACAACTACCCACTGCACCATAGACACACCATTGCTTGTTTAAAGTGACAGCATTCAGTTATTTGGTGGCCTTTCTGATACGCATTCAGTTTCACTGGTATTTTCAAGGTCAATATACAGATTTGAGCCTGTCGATTTGCATGATTTTATGAGGTTTTCTAGATCCAGAAAGTAGAGAACTATATTCACTGGTCACTCAAGCTACTTAACAGAAAAATGTATCATTGTATCTTTGAACAAACCCAGTGAAGATTTCTAGAATTGCTTCAGAAGTGGCAAGAATTGTGGAATAAGGTGTTCAAAGTGAAGGGGAATATTTTGATGTGGATTAATGGCAATGTGTCTTTTACTGTAATGGCCTCCTTTTTTTTGAGAAAAAAATAAAATTTTGATATAAAATAATAGAAAGGTAGAGCTGGCAAGATAGCTCAGTAGACTGAAGTGCCTGCTTAGGCAAGCTTAAGCAAGCACAGGGACTGCAGTTCAATCCCTGGCACCACATGCCAT